GGGGGGGGGGTCCCTCATTGATGCGCCGCCCAGCAAGCATTCCCCTCGTTGGCTTTCACATGTGTAAGTCCCTGTCCTTGCTGTGAGACAGGGTGGAGGTCAGGAACATGGCCCTGGCCCCACACTGCACTGGTACAGGTCAGTGTGTGAAACTGAGCACATCACCTGATATTGCTGAGCCGAAGATTTCTCCTTTTAATATGGAAATACTGAAGGCACCCACCTCATGGGGCGGTTGGGAGGGTTAAATACATTAGTAGCTCCTGGCTCGCTGTTTGAACCAACTGTATTTGCTGACATCGTTATTTTGATTGGCCATTTGTGTTTGGATGTCTTTTTTTGTCACATTAACAGATGGAATAGAGACACACTCTGGGTATGCTTGCCCAGAAAATAGGAGCGACCCTTATGATTGAGACCCTCAGGATGAAGCACCCTGCCGGCCAGGCCCTGTGGTGTCTCCATCGATGGGACTGTGAAGTTTCCGAGCCCACCTGCCCAGCCGGTCCGCATGTCTTTGCTTTTCATGTCCCCCGTATAGATGTCCCTTGGTGCTTTGATCGGCTCTGAGTGCTGAGCGGTGACAGGCGCCAGCACAGCTGGGTCTGCTGCTCATCTCCCAGCAGCAAGCTGTTGCCATGGATACGGCTTCGGGAGCCGAGCACGCCGCGCCGTCTCGAGTGGCTGTCATCTGCTCGTGGCAGGGCCCACGATGAGCGTGCGCTGGCTTCCTGTCGACGGCAGGCTGATCCCTCCTCTTTGTTCCACCCCAGATGGCCGCTGCCCAGGACACTCGGAGTGGCCAGAAGGACTCCTCCGACCAGAACTTCGACTACATGTTCAAGCTGCTCATCATCGGCAACAGCAGCGTGGGCAAGACCTCCTTCCTGTTCCGCTACGCGGATGACTCCTTCACGTCTGCATTTGTCAGCACAGTCGGCATCGACTTCAAAGTGAAGACTGTGCTCAGAAACGAGAAGAGAATCAAGCTTCAGATCTGGGTAAGTGGCTTCGGCCGTGGGTGCCACAGCCCAGGGCGTGGGACGGGCATGTGTGGAGCGAGAGCCTCCTGCCTACGTCTCCGACCACAGCCTACGGCCAGCTCTTGCTGTGGAGCCTTCTGTTCCCAGGGCAGCGGCACAGAGCCTCCCTAAGGTTTGGAAACTGACTATGCCTGTTGTCAAGTGATGCTTCTTAGGAGTCTCAGGACAAAGAGAAGGAGCTGCTGTTGGTTGGTGGGAGGAAAGTCAGCCAGAAGTTGGCCCTGCCCGTGACCCCTGTGACCTTGAGCACGTCTGTGGCTCCTTCTACACCACTTTCCTAACCCACAGAACAGCAAGGTGGGCCTCACCTTTGATGCCACAGGACGCAGCCTGTCCTGGCATTTTTACAGGGAAAAGTAAAGGATCAAGTGTAGAAAAAGCTTGAGTCTGTCCCTTCAACAAGCCCCAGATATGACCTTGAACATGATCGATTTCCACTTCACAGACTGGTCTCAGCTCAGACAGTCATGTTTATCCTCACAAATAAAACAAGTGAAATAAAATGTTTATTTTAAACAGGGTTTTCCCCTAAGCACAAGGTCCTTCAGTCAGTTTTGAGACCCTGTGGCCTCCTGCCTCTCTCCACCCTGCAGAAGATCACAGATCCCCTAACTGAACTGCTGGGGGAAATTCAGAAAGCAAGTGAGAAACAGAAAACTGTAGGTGGGTAACAGGTTCGAGGTAATATGAGAGAGAAAGGGACACACACTGACTACGCGGGAGATAATTGTGTGCTGAGCATTCACACCCATGAGACAAAGTGTAGTTGCACCATCGAGTGTGTCCAGTTAGCTCAGGCCCCTTTTACTCTTGGTTTCACCTCTGCCACTGAAGTCGACTCAAGCTGTGAACAGGCTTTTCCCAAGAGGTGAGGCTTCCACCTTCTGAGATGGTTCCGATACCACCTGCTCCTGGTGCCGGGTGGGTCCAGGACCCCGGGTAAGCCTCTCTCATCACCTGCGGAAAGTTGAGAGAGGGACAAGCCCCGGGGCAGAGAGCCCTTTATGAACATACTGATATGAACGGAGGCCTTTCCACGCCTCAGAGCTCCGAGGTGCACAGGCAGGTGTCCCCTCAGGCGCTTACACTAGATGGTTACCACTTCGCATATTCTAACTGGAGTCTTCCAAGTCGAGTTACAACTCATGAGAGAACTTGGAGAAGTGGCCCCGTACCCTTTGCTTTATCCCTAAGAAGTCTCCTTGAATGTGGTGCTTTGTTGTGAAGATGGAAATCTTACAGGACGTATTCTGGGATGTTGAGGAAAATGGTTGTGAAGGAGCTGACCATCCAGTGAGCTGAGGTGTGCAGGGGAGATATGGTGAGTAACGGGGCGGAGCGTCTTCGTGTAGGGACCCCGGCAGTAACTCCGGGGTCTGTGCGGTGCTGTGACCTATACTGAGAGTATTTAGTTGTGCGCAGTTCCTACTGTTGAACAACAACTTCAAGAAACCATTTGTTTGGGAATGTATGTGATGTTGACAGTTTGTCGTCTCATTGCATTTTAATTACCAAACAACTGCTTTTCCTAGTTTATTTTCATGAACTAGATTAATGTGTAAATAAGTTATGAAGATGTCCACAGTCAGCTTAGTCTCTTTCTACTCCTAACACTTGCGACACCAAATGTGTGGGTTTGGCAGACTGAGCAATTCTTTAGTTCTCTGTCGACACCAACTGGCTGTCCTGCAATTTAAATCAATTCTGATACCTGGATTAGCAGAGTCCACAGGTAAAGACCTTAGTTCCAAAAGGATACAACTTAAGAACCGCCAAGAGAAGAGGCGCACAGGACACAGTGTGGGGGTGATGTGGGTGTCACCCAGCAGGTTGCTGTGATCACCCACCAGGTGCTGTCCTCACTTCCTTCAGGGTTTTTAGGGACCTTCTGTTCCGTGGCCTCAGTGGATTAAAATCACTGTCCACTGCTGATTAACCTAATTTTCAGCACCTGTCCCTCCAGGCGGTCAAGGGGGTTGAGGCTGAAGTTCCAGCCCTTTGATCCTGTGGTTTGTTCTTCTGGCAAACAGTCTGCATCCTGAAACCATGTAGGGGCCCCCAGGAGTCATCCCCTCAGCATGAACTCTGGGGTGAGGAAAGGGGCTGATTATGAGTCATCACCAGAGATAAAATTCCAGGGGTCTCAGGAGCCCTGTGCCAGGAGCCAGGAGGAAGAGCAAACATGCATCTCTTATTCTATGGCAATATCGCAGCCTATTACGTGTTTTAGAGGGAGAGATGCACCGTGGTTTCAGCAGTGAAAACCATCGCGATTAGTCCAATGCAGCGTGACTTTTACCAAGATGGGCTGCGGGCATCAAGGTGATTCTGGCTACTCTCCTGATTATAACTGCCCACCAGGAGATCTGCTTTCAGGAGAGGAAACCAGGTGTAGAGAGGTTAAGTCAGATCTACTTTTAGGAGAGGAAACCAGGTGTAGAGAGGTTAGTGATGCGACAGAGCAGAGTCTCAAGTCCAAGTCTGCTGGTGCTCCGCTGGTCTGGCTGCTGACCCAAGTCCACAGCAAGGCCAGGGCTGTGAGGCGGCAGTTGTGATAGGTGTCGGACCTGCTTGTCAGGTACCCACCAGACACGGGAGCTTAAACTCGAGGCCAGACTTCAGTAGGATTTTTGTGTCGGGGGTGAGAGCTGGGGGTAAACTCCCTGAGTTGTTGCTTTTTAAAATATATTTTTATTGCCCGGCCAGGCGTGGCTCAGTGGTTGAGCGTCGACCTAGGATCCAGGTGATCGGGGTTCGATTCCCGGTCAGGGCACATGCCTGGGTTGTGGGCTCGATCAATGACTCTCTCATAATTGATGTTTCTATCTCTCTCTTTCCCTCTCCTTTCCTCTCTCTGAACTCAATAAAGATATATTTAAAATAAAATAAAA